TGTGTGTGTGTGTGTGTGTGTGTGTGTGTGTGTGTGTGTGTGTGTGTGTGTGCGACTCACAGCTTTCTCTTCAGGCCCACCGTGCTGGGTGTGTTGGACTGCATCTGGCTGAACAGAAACTGGATCAGCTGGCAAAGAGAGAGAAAGCACAGCATGACTCAGCATCCTGACCCGGTGTCACACACACACACACACACACACACACACACACACAGAAGTCACACACATGGCGCCATGTTTCCCTTCTTGAAGCACAAGGCAGGGAAAGCCGGGTTTGGACTGAAGGGGCCCAGCTGGAGGCTTGTTTCCTCGTTACAGGACAGAACACATGAGGCAGGGTTGGGTTCTGTTGGTGTCATGGTGGGTTCTGTGTGGTCTGATCCATGAACACAGCTGACTGATCAATAATACGTCTAATGAACAGAAACGCCTGCGTGCTGCTCTTTCATGAGCTTCTCTCACTTTAACCCAAACATCAGAGAATAAAAAGAACCTTTAGTGTAAAACACAAAGCAGTAAAACTAATCAGAACAGAACCGCCACCTTCCATCTGGGTCATCATTCCTATCATTCATTTTCTTATTAAAGTCCAGTCATTGAACAAACCCCTAAAAGTCATCTATGTATCTGAAGGACATACTTTGAAGCTCTTCTCTGTTGATAGTAATCCCTCACCACCTTAAAGCGGCCCAGATGTGACACTAAACCTCTGGCTCGCTCTGCATTCACTCGCTGCAGCTCAGCACACCAGCTCACCTTCAGTACGACCACTCTACACTATGACAGGCTGTGGTGTTGGACTGATTCAGCTGATCTGATCTGGAGCATTTTGTGTAGTTGAGTTTATTAAGAACGGCGCCGACCTGCAGCAGCATCTAAACGTGTTAAAATCTGACGGCTGTCACGTTTTCAGGCAATAATCTGATGGATAAACACAGTCAGCATGTTCTGAACTAAAGATGCTGTGGAAGCGCTGAGGCTCCTCGCTGTAGTCCGGTGAGACACTCAGCAGAGTGGGCAGCACCGCTGATGACACCAGCGTCTCATCATCGATGTGAAGGATCGCAGCAAAACGTTTGCAATGAAAAACCTACTTGAGAAAAAACAGGATTCAGCAAAATGACTTAAAGGTAAAAAGTAATCAGCTCGTTACAGACAAGCTGCAGAAACACACGGACTGACCTTGTTCATGACCTTCTGCTGCTGGGTGTGGTTCTGTCTCAGCGACACCACCTCCCTCCACAGAACCTCGTTCTGCCTGCAAACAGCACGAGATCAGAGAATCAAAGAGATGCTTGGCAGGACTTCTGTGTTCTGACTTCTTCTGAAATTTGCCTCAACATCATCTGATTAAAAGTCTGAGCAAAGCCAGCAGCCCTCAAGTAGTTTTATATCAAATAATACAAAATTGGTGAAAGTGTTACAAACAGTCCTTCTGCCTTCAGATTTAGGGTAGAAAATGTCTCAGTGGACCCACGTTTGTTCTCCTTCCTAAATATTAAAGCACATCTCACTGCTCTCCACGTCTGTCCCCATCAGCTCCGGTGCTAACTTCAGGTTCTGGTGGGTTTTTAGTGCAGCCCTCTCCTTCTCAGCCAGCGCTGAAGCCTTACGTGGTCACCCTTCATCACATCTGTTTAGTGCATAACAACCTTTTTCATTTGTTCTCTGTGTCAGACGGCATCACAAAGGATCTCAGAGCCAGTGAGACGTTCCTCTTCCTGTTTGGTTAGCTGCTACAGAGAGCACAGCTGTTTGAGGAGAACTCAGAAGGTCCACACAAGATGTCTGACTTTTAGAGCTGGACAGGTTCTTCTGGCTGGTCTCACAGTGTGAACGTAGATTCACATGATCTGGCTGCTAATCGCACCACCTGGCTGATTCCAGGTGAGCTACTCAGGAGCACCATCAGAGGACTTGGTGCCTCAGAGCCGTCCCAGACTGGATCTGTGGAGGCTGCTGGTGGTCTGACAGGCTGCCTGCAGCATGGAGATGTGTCCAGAACTCTAAATGTAATGGAAGTGGCAGCTTGGTGCAGAACTGGAGAGCATCTGAACGTTAGCTCTGTTGTAGCTGCAGCACATCGATGCTTGATGCATCTGAGCGACTGAAATGAATGAAACAGAATCCGTTTATTTGCTAACTTGCAGTCTGTAGCTACAGCCGATGCTAACTCAAGTGCTTTTGCTTGTGAGAATCAGAATCGGGCAGCGTTTGCTCGAACCAAAAATGGCTGTGGGCATTGTGTTCCTACATGTGCAGGACAGTCCCCATCACCCGCAAACACACCGAAACATTTAAAATCAGTGGAGCTCCCCTTTAATGTATGAACACTAGTGGCCTGTGTTGAATATCACAGTAGTTTTAGAGTTAGCTCCTCTGTACACGATTCTGATGCTAACTAGGAGACTATCGTAGACCTGGAATCATTTCTGCTCCTTCAGCATGAGGAGGCACGTCGAGCTGCAACCATTAATCAACACTTAAATCAATCACCAGCAATCAATTCACTGGTTTCAGATGAAATTCAGAAAAAAATGCATGTCATCAAGCTGTAGACCAGATGTTTGAGGATCATCCTGGCCTTTAGAAAACACTGACTGATTTAATAGACCCAACAACTGAGTGAACATAGTTGGACAGACTGTCTGATGATTAAACTAATCATCAGCTGTCATTTCCCTGAATGTAGAAACACAAACACGCCCATCGTGCTTCGACACTGAAGCCAAAGTCACAGTTTCGTACAGTTTTAAATGACAAAGTGCGAAACACGGACTCCTGTGGTGGAGCACTGTCCACGCCTCCATGGCCGTGCACCTGCACGTGCACACGTGTGCTCATCCTTTCTAAGAATGTTGTCGGCGTGCATGTGTGTGTGTCAGTCAGGTGAGCAGGTGAACATTCTCTCCTCTCATTAGCAACAATACGGAGCACAAAGCGCCGGCTGCACACAATGGACACATGGCAGCTATTTTCAGCAACAATAGCCTCCAGAGAAAAGTGGCTCCATGCACTGGTTGTTCAAAGTTAGTCAGAGGAATAAAGGTTGCTCACATTAAGAGCTGCAAATATGGTTAAAGCAGGGTGGGGGGCTGACAGTCTGGAAACTGTAAAGCATCGTGACGAAGCTCAAATGAACACGTTTTTATTTGCATGTAAGCTCACAGGTTGTATTCAGATATAAAGCAGTCATTCAGGGGACAGTTTAACTTTTAAATCAAATGATTTGCTTGTCAAAGTATTTCCAGCCAGAACGCGTGTCTGATGAAACAGAACAAGCAGCGTGACATGTCAAACGGACCGGGCCAGTGGATGCTACCACGTTGGCACTGTGGCCAAACTAAACTGTACTTCACACAACCTGCTGGCTGTCAGAAAGCAGCCTCGCGTTCAAGCTGTGTGAGCGGCTTTGTTGGTGAGAGCTCATTGTTTCAGGTGCCAGCAGACACAGAACATAGGATCCAGTTTGTCCAGCAACAGATTAGAGCCTTTAAAAGCTTCTCACATAGCAAAGCGGTGCAGAGACTCACAAAAAGCTACAACAGGACTATAAAAATCTGGGAGGTTATCCCTATATCTTCATTATAATGCAAAGTAAATGACAGAACTAGAGACTGCACTACAGATCATCTATCAGCAACACGATGTGTGCAGTCGTAGTTTAATTGGTACACATGCTGTCCGTCTCACTCAGCCTTCAGCACAGCACACAGGAGGCCAGTAATAACGTCCACGTGTGATACTCAGAGACCAGCCGGTTAGGTTTAGGAGGTTCAGGCTAGCCCTCACCCCTCCTGTGTGTCGTTTTATAGGATGCAATTCAGCACCAGCATGTATTAATCTTGGTCTCAAACCAGATTTTCGGCCCTTGTGCAGGCCCTCCGGACTGTGTCAGATACAGGACCTAAACAATGAACTAAATAACGTCCAACCAAATGCCAGGTGGTTGGTTCCAGCCTTCATCAGAACTATCATGGACTGCTTTAGTCCTGTTCAGATGGACGCTGGGCTACGGACACGGGGACCAGTACTTGGCTTTGATGCTAGTTGCTCTCCCAGTTCAGCAGGACGTTGCACCAGTTAGGACTTCATGTCCTCATGATACTGCAGTAAGTTCACACGGGGAGCTTCACACGCTTCATGAATAGAGACCATGTGACCTGATGTCCACACGAGCTCTACGTTAAACTGTTGATCCACTGAACCCAGATCAGGTCAACACAAAACCTGAAAACACAGGAACTGCAGTGAAGGGAGGCCGACGTACTGCACACACACACACACACACACACACACACACACACACACA